TTAAGAGATGAGTTAGAGAGAAGCCTTTCAATTTGGACTTATGTCCAACCTAGAGTCTTATTAATAATATGTAGAGGAGGGGTTAAGTCATATATAACATGTCAAATTTCTAAATCTTAAAACTTGCAAAGGAAAACCTAGAGGATCGAGAACCTTAATAAACACATAGAGTAGCTTTGGAACGACAGAGGATCATGTCTATGCCTTGGAGATTTCCATCTAAGGAAAGAGGGGGAGTAGTAATTTTTGTTTTAACTTGTAGATACATATAAGTGGTATGGGTAGTGAGATGACCCTTAAGCCTCCTTAGGATTTATTTTGATGCGTTTGATGACATGTATGGTGTTTAAGATTGTCGTGGTTGTACAATATTGAATCTCTTAGATTGTGACTATTCATGTTGATTGATTCCAAAAAATTTGTATAAACATCTCTTAGTATTTAGGTGATTTCTCTCAATGACGACCAAATAATGTTCCATGTGTTGCGTTAACAAATAGACATTTTGTAACTTCCTAAATTTTTTAAATAAATAATAAATGAGTTAGAATAATTAAAAAATAAAAGGAATATTTTTTATTATAAAAATAAATAGGGAGAGCTCATCAGAAACAATTTGGCTAGACTCTAATCCCAACCTAGTGACTAATTAAAAAGTGGAAAATAAAGAGGGGTTAGGTCATTCTTACATTCATTATGAAAAACCTAGAGTACGTCCAGGAGAAGACTTAGAGGAGACCATCGAGGGAGGCTTAGATTAGAGGCAGAAGCTACCTGAAGAACATCATTCCACGACATCGTCACTCTAGATAGGAGAGTGAGATTAACAAATCCGTAAGCATATATGAGGGATAAAGGTAGTGAGACGATCCTTAAGCCTCAAAGGTTGATTGTTTGATGGGAATTCATGTGTATAAGATCAATTAAAATGTATTGTTGTCTTATTGTGTGATTGAATTATCTGTTTTGAATTTGTGTCTATGAAAGCTAGGGTTGTCTTTACATGAATTGAGAATGAGTTGAATTGGATGAATCTTGATGAATTGAGATTATAAGGATATTTATTGAGTGTGATTCGATTAATTGACCGACTAAATTGTATGTATAAGTAATTGTTGTATTGGTGTGGAATTTGGGCGAGGCAAATCACAAATATACAATGTATAGTTATTGTGACTATGTCGAGCGTAAGAATGGCCATGTTGGGTGTGAGGCTACCAAAAAGATGCCAAACTTCTTAGCGTTCGGCGTGAGGTGTTGCACCCAATGCAATTTGATGTTGATTTTGTAAGCAAGGTGACGTTAGGCATTACCCATACCACACTGGGCGAGACTAAGACAAAGAGGTTCCAAACCTCTCCATGAGGGGCATAGGTGATTCCACGATGGACGTGAGTTTGGCAAAGAGGTCTCTGATCTCTCCATGTCATGTGTGAATCCATTCTTGTCAAGTGCCACACTTTTTTTTTTTTCTATTTTGAGATGTTTTACCTTACTGACTAAACATTAAATGAGGAACCACGGGAAAAGATTGATAATGTATATTAAGAGAATGAACTATTGAGTATTGATATGTAAGTTTATGAAATCTATTGTGTTATACTTGTGATGATGTTATCATATTTATGATATCTGATGGATGAATGATGAGAATGCATGATAATTATGATGTGGGTATGAGAAAATATTGATGTATGGGAAATTATAACGATGCACGATGTGATGAATTAATATGAATGTTAATGAGGAGATATATGATGAACAAGTTCAATGTTGCAAGCAACTTTATGGCATGGATATTCTTTGGTCAAGGTTATTTGGGGAGGAGCTCCTTCTAAGAGTATTACTTGGGAGTTGGAAAGTAAAATGAGGGAAGCATATCCATAGTTATTGATGAATTTTCTTATAGGGGAAAAGAGTTGTAACATCCTATATTTTTTTTAAATAAATAATAAATAAAAAGGGAATATTTTTTTAATAAAAATAAATGGGGATTGCTCATTATAAAAAAATTAGGCTAGACTTCAAATCCAACCTAGAGACTAATTTAAAAGAGGAAAATAAAGAGAGGTTAGGCCTTTCTTATGCTCATTCTAAAAAACCTAGAGCACGTGTAGGAGGAGACTTAGAGGAGATCGTCGGGGGAGGCACAAATTAATAACAAGAACTACCTGAGTGTATCGTTCCACGAGATCATCACTCTAGGTAGGGGGGACTGAGATTTTCAAATCCGTAGACATATATGAGGGATAAGGGTAAAGAGATGATCCCTAAGCCTCGTATGTTGACTGTTTGATGGGAATTCATGTGTATAAGATTGATTAAAATGTATTGTTGTCTTATTGTGGGATTGAATTATCTATTTTGAATTAAGTTATTCGAATGATGAATTTTTGTCTTTGAAAGTTAGGGTTGTCTATGCATCAATTGAGAATTTGAGTTGAATTGGATGAATCTTGATAAATTAAGGTTATAATGATGTTTATTGAGTGTTACAATTAATTGACCAATTAAATTGTATGAATAAGTAATTGTTGTATTGGTGTGGGATTTGGATGTGGCAAATCGTAAATCTTTGATGTGTAGTTTTTGCGACTGTGTTGAGCATAAGAATGATCATGTTGAGCGCGAAGCTGCTAGAGAGGTCCCAAACTTCTCGACATTAGATATGAAGTGTTGCGCTTGATGCCATTTGACGTCGATTTTGTGAGCATGGTGACACCAGACGTGGCCCAAACCACATTAGATGAGATTGTAGAGTGGTCCCAAACAGTGTTTTAAAACCCGGACCGACCCGGCCGGTTGGACCGGTTGGACCGGGAACCGGTGGTCCAGCCGGTTCGAATTTGAAGTTGGATCGGTTATGCAGTCGACCCGTTTCAAACTGGATTGAACCGGTCAATTTTCCGGTTCAACCGGTGAACCAGTGGGTCAAACCGGTTCAACCACTTTTTTTTCTTATTTTTTTTAAAAAAATTTTAAGGGACCATAAATCACAAAAATAATAATGAAAATTGAATCTCTTAATGAAAAAGCAAGGAGTCTTATTAAATATAACAATGACTACTTGTTCTAATATATTTGTTTGCAATATATACAACTTAAATAACTTTTATAGTATATTATTAATTTTAAATTATATATTTAATAATGCAATATCTATGTAAATATTACATATATTATTTTGTGATATTAATTGCAAGCATATTATATATGTACATATTATTTATATTTTTAATTTGTATTAATATACCATTTAACATGTAATTTTTTTATGTATTTTTTTACAAAATAAAAATAAAAATAATTTTAAATAAGATAGAAAAATTGAAATTAAAATAAGATATGAATTTATTAAAATTTATAAGTATAAAATATATTTAATATAAATATTTTTTAATAAAAATCGAGTCATGCGGTTCAACTATAGTGACCTACCGGTTCAACCTTTGACCCACTGACCCAGTACCTTAACCGGTTCAATAACCGGTCCGATTTTTAAAACTATGGTCCCAAACCTCTCCATATTGGGCACGGGTGATCTCATACTAGGCGTGAGTTTGATAGAAAGGTCCCTAACCTCTCAACATTGGGCATGAATCCATTCTCATCGAACACCATGCCTTTTTTGATCCTAAGTTGTTTTCCCTTACTAATTAATTATTAAATTAGGAACCACGAGGAATAATTAGTAATTATATTAAGAGAAAGAATTATTGAGTATTGATATGTAAGTTTATGAAATTTGTTGTGTTGTAACTATGATGGTATTATGATATAATGATATGTGATGGATGAATGATGAGAATGCATAATAAAGAAAGTTATTTATTATTTTTTTATGAATATGATCCATGCAGTGTCCTAGAACTGACAACCAAAGACTATATATGATGTATCTGTGTTAATATATAATAGGAATACTTTCATTTCTTTATTATATTTTAACATTTTCTCCTACTAACTACATCTAGTTTCAATTATAAAAAATATAAGATAGATTATCACAACTAAAAAAATAATTAATATAATTATTTTTAATTAATTTTATAATAAATTCACATTTTATTTTAATTATATCATTTACTTTAAGTGATTATTAATTATATTTAATATTAGTTATAAATAAATACATAAAAAATAGAGTTAATAATATATACTATATTTATGTACATATATAAATGTGTGTATGTATGGATATGAAATAAGATGTATACTGCAACAAACATACCTTCTTTTCATCATTAAATTTTGCATTTAAAAATCTCGCCCAAGTTTCATTTTCTTAAGTGAGCCTTAATCCTATCACTTATGATATATTTTTGCCACTATTTGTAACGTCCATGTGAGGTGTTTTCATAACTTTAATGATAATTATTAAATTACAGTTTCTTAATTAAAAAGAAACTAACGAACTGAAATTAAAACTTAACTATATATAAATAAATCTTATAAAATTATTATTATAAAAACTGATCAGATTACCATTATTTATATTTTTATTATTATTGTCATTGTTATTAACATAATTATTATTATTATTATATCATTGTCATTATCACTACTTCAACAATATCACTATTCCATTACTTAATATATCATTAATATTATTATCATACAATCACAATATTGTTAATTATAAGGAGAGAAATTAATAATAATTAACTATAATAATGAATGTAGATTAATAGTAACATATCAAGTGTTTACAATTGAGTTTCGACAATTTCAAAATATATTTCCTTCTATACAATATGGATTCAGATGAAAGAGAAAAACAAAATCTTTTCAATAAAATATATGCAATAATTAATGCATTTATTAATTGAAAATATAATAATATAAAATTGTCATTCTTATAACTTATTAAAAAAATTGTCCATTTTACACACACAAGGGGGAATTTTTTTAATAAAATAATATAATATAATATATATATATATATATACGTCTTAAAAATGCATAAGTGTATAAAAGAAAATAAAGTCAATTCTTAACAGCTTGAGACCAGTGTCTAGACCATTCTGCCCAACTTGCATGCACCTTTCCTTCCTCCCTCTTTAAATCCTCCACCAGCTATCTTCCTTTTTCTCCCCTAACTCTCTCTCACAGATCCAAACCCAAAAAAAGGAGAGAGAGAGAGAGAATTATGGTGGGTTTGCTTCCCTCTACCTTTTGCACTGTTCTCTTCTCACCCACCTCTCCTTCTCCTTAATTAATTTATTTCACATGGTGCTTCTGCTTCATCTATAGTTTAATTCAATTCACTCTTTCTTTAAAATTCTCTTGTGTAGGAATTAGAACGAAACCAGATGACCACATGGGAAGGCTATGTGAATTGGAGGAACAAACCAGCTCTCAGAGGTCGCCATGGTGGCATGCTTGCAGCTTCCTTTGTTTTAGGTCTGTCCCAAATAGAAATTCCCCTCTCTATAAGACTCAATAGTTTAATATATTTATACATGTATATGTATTTATTTATGTATCTATTATGAGTTTGATGGTTCAATTGGGAGTATTTGGATTGGGGTTAATTAAAACCAGTCCAAGCGGTTGTTTACTTCATATTTATGTGATGAATGATGATAGATATGAATCATATGTGGCACTAATTTCAAAGTGTTTGTGCAGTGGTGGAGATATTGGAGAATCTAGCATATCTAGCCAATGCAAGCAATTTGGTGCTGTATTTGAGCCAGTACATGCACATGTCTCCTTCTAAATCAGCCAACAACGTTACAAATTTCATGGGAACGGCCTTCTTCCTTGGCATCCTGGGAGGTTTTCTATCTGATGCTCTTTTCACCACTTATCACATCTTCCTCATAAGTGCGGTTGTTGAACTCCTGGTATGCACCCTCCACCTCTCTCTCTTTGTCATCACTTGTGAATATATATATGACTTTATATTAATTTTTCTCACAATAATCTGCTGTTCTGCAATTATTATTGATACCTTTATTTTGCATTTGTTATTTCCCTTTCCCATTGTGCTTTAAATATTGATCAGGAAGATTTTGGGAAAAGGGGGGGGGGGGTGTGGGGGCAGAAGAGATTGAATTTTGATTAGTATAGGGTTCCTTAAAGAGCAAGCGTCTTTAAAAACCATGATTTGTCTTAACCAGAATCTGAGTCAATTGCAAGTTGCAAAGTGCAAACACAAGTTGCAAGATGGGGCTGCATCAAATGATGCAACCAAACCGCTATAATAGAATTGAAAAGATAATGATTTTAAAACAATTAATTAAAAAAACTGTCTTTTCTGTCCCTTTGATTCGCTTTCTTTTTGCTGCATTCGTTCGCGCACTTGGTCACAGAAAGCCTCATGAATTGCATGAGCGAACGCCCACTAAGATACTAGTCTAAGTCAAGAATCATATTTTAAGGCCCCAAATTAGAAAGGAAAAGAGAAAAAAAAAAGGAAAGAGAGAAGAAAAGAAAAGCATATAGGTAGCTTTATATCTCTTCACATTGGTACAACGCTAACCTTGAACTCCTAGATGTGTAAGAGATCTACTGCTAGTGGTGGCTAGGAAAGACAAACAGTAACACAGAAAAAAAGTGGCGTGTGACGGATGAGACAAAATAACAATAATGTTGGTGGGGGAGTTCTTTTTTTTTTTTTTGAAAGGTTTTTTCTCCTTCTATTCTATATTTTATATATATTATTATTAATTGGTGTCGTAAGAAAAAAAAAAGTCAGAAGGAAATGAATTTAATTTATATGACGGAGGGGGACCCCTCTATTTATATATATTCATCATCCATGCAACGTATATTTAATTTCTTTAAGAATGCCTAGGACCCTATATTTTTGTGCCACTGCCACATGTTGGATAAATAGAGATTTTGTTCAGTCAAGTTTGAACATGGAAAGTAACATCTGTTGTCGTTTTGGCTTTCTCAAAAATACATGCCCTTCTCTGTACGCCATCATCAGCTGCTATTGCTACAGACCTAAAGGACGCTTCTTTTTTACCGATTTGTTTCTCTAATAAGCATTTTTTTTCTTTTCACAACACCTATAATTTACCCAAAATGAACACGATTAAAATCTTTAATTGAATTATATACATATCCACAGTTGTGCTTATTTAAATTTGATAGGTCAAGGAAAAATAGTACATGATTAATAATTTATTGAAATTCGTGCAAGCAAAACTTGATCGGTGCCAAAATTAACCTGTGCTCAAACCATTATCTAATCTCAATGATCTAGCTTGAGTTTATTTTGTAGCATTATTTGAACGAATTTCGTTTCGATCACGTCACTTTTAATTTATACTTTCTTACATTTCATATAAAATATCACATCACTTAATAGAGAGAGAGAGAGAAAGAATAGGTTGTTTTAATATAAAATGAAGTGTAATAAAATTTGATGTTGAAAATTCAGTACTTTATTTGAATAGATATTGTTGTTTTTTCTTAATTATTTATTGCTTAGTTTATCGTGGGTATGCCACATGTCAAGGCTTATCTAACTTTCGTAAAAGTCAAATCCCCTGTAATTTCAAAAGAAACTGTTTGTGTATTTATAGCTCCAACGTAAGTTCATTTAATACCTCAATATTTATAATGTATAAATTTACGCGTTAATTAATATCTAAGACTTGTCGGTGAAGGGAAAAATATTTCTTTTATCCGGGTTGGAACATTGTTTAGAGCATATTTATGAAAAGAAAAGGATAAAAATATATTTTTTTTCTTATATTATTTATTCGTGTCAATTTAGTCTCATTTTAATTAATTAAATTACTTTAATCTCATATTCTAAAATATATTCTAATATTTGATTTTTTGCTTTTTTCATTTAAATATTTAACGGATTTGATATATATCATATTATCATGACACGTGTCATGCTGTCATGCCACATGTTATATTATCATGTTACGTGTCATATCATATATCATGATGTTTAGTCATGTGACATGTCAGTACGTATAACACGTGTCATATTCGTTAAGTATTTAAACAGAAAAGACGAAAGATTAATCATTGAGATACATTTTAAAGATGTGAGATTAAATTAATTTAATTAATTAAAATAAAACTAAATTAAATCTAAAAAATAATATAAAGGGATGAAAAATATATTTTTACTAAAAGAAAAGTGTTTAATTTGAACAAGTTGTCTGAGTACATAAACTCTGATACACGTTTGAATTCCATAAATAATAATAAAAAGAAAACAATTTTAACCCGGGCAAGCTCAGCTATTAGCACACCTAGAAGTTTCATGAAATTAAGTGCGAGGATGTCATTGTTATAATCACATTGTGAGAAAGCTTGCTAGGACTGTATATGCATGAATCAAGGCTTGTAGTTGATAGTTTAATGCAAGAAGTCGTTGTCTGTGCTATAGTCCAGGGGCTGAAGTGGGGATGAGCACACATGGCCTAGGCCCACATACGTGGCCATTTTTTAACAACAGATGTTGACATTTCGTTTTTTGGTCCCATTTTAGAAATGGTACACGTTGTACTCTTGAATGTGTAAGGAATTTCACTGGCTGTGGTTGACTTCCATGATTTCATGTTTAAACGTGCATGGACAACTCGAACAATGATGAGTTATATTATTCATGCAATAAATTTACAAAATGCTTTGTACAGGAATTTTTTTTTTCTTTTCATCTCTTTTAATCTTATCCTCATGTTATTTTCTCTTCCTATTTTTCAATTTTATATACTATATTAAAAATGTAGATTAAAAATGTAGATTAAAACGTATAACTCGATCTTATAAAATTAATTTATTAAGTGAATATTATTTCTCACTTATATATCTTATTATACTCGGATCACTGGTTGAGATGTGCAAGTCATTGTCATTGTCATTTGAATTGATTGGCAGCCTAGATGATATGTTGTTAAGGTTTTTTCTATTGTACTCGGATATACCTTATGATTGGCAGCCTAAATTGGCCCGCAAGGGTTATAACTTTATTAGAAATTGAAATAATAAACTAATTGAAAAGAATGTACGTCATTCTACTTTATTATTTTGCATAACTTTACGTGGCTAAGGGAACAGGAACTTGTGTGTGCAGGGATTGATTGTGCTCACTGTACAAGCTCGTTCGCCTTCACTAAAGCCACCAGCATGTGACTCAGCCACCACTCTATGCCATGAAGTTAGTGGTGGGAGAGCTGCAATGCTATATGCAGGACTTTATCTGGTGGCTCTTGGAGTTGGAGGAATTAAGGGGTCATTGCCAACACATGGTGCTGAGCAATTTGATGAGAACACCCCATCTGGAAGGAAGCAACGATCAACCTTCTTCAACTACTTTGTCTTTTGCTTGTCTTGTGGTGCCCTTATTGCAGTTACATTTGTGGTGTGGGTTGAAGACAACAAAGGCTGGGAATGGGGTTTTGGAATCTCTACCATAAGCATATTTTTATCTATACCAGTCTTCTTGGCAGGCTCTGCTACTTATAGGAGCAAGGTCCCTTCTGGAAGTCCACTTACAACCATTTTCAAGGTAATAATTATTATGTGTTGTTGTTGCCAGTTATGTACTTAGATCTAAGTATTTGCCCTCATTTTTTGGGTATACTTTTTTTCTTAGAAGGTGGACCAAACAACTTTAAAAGGAAAGTTTTTGAAAATAAGGTTGCTTCTTCAATTTTTCCAAGAAAAAACCAAAATAAATAGATTTTAAGTAAACTATTTAAGCTTGTTTTTATAAAATTTTCAAGTATTGATAGCAATTTTCTCATTCAACTTCTCCTACAGTTAATTTAACTGATGATATTTTTTATTTATTTCCTTCTTTTGAAAGTTATTGAGAAGTTTACACAAGTAAAGTCATAGAAGAGTTTACTAAAAAAAAAGTTAGATTAGACACTAAAAATAGCTTGCTTTTCCCAACTAAATGCTACATAATTATCTTCACTCTTTGACTTATGTATGCTTCCTTTCTTTTGACCAAGCAGGTACTGGTTGTTGCTTCACTTAACGGCTGCTTCTACAGAAATTCTAGCCGTAGTGCTGTGAAGAATATGACTTCCAGCCCTTCTAATCCACACTCAAGTAGAAAAGCAGGAGGCAAAGAAACCGAAGCCCCAACAAACTCACTCAAATTTCTCAATAGAGCAATTGAGAAAAACCCAATGTGTTCATCAATAGATTGCACTGTGGAGCAAGTAGAAGATGTGAAGATAGTATTGAAAGTATTACCCATATTTGCTTGCACCATTATGCTAAACTGTTGCCTAGCTCAGCTATCCACTTTCTCTGTTGAGCAAGCGGCAACTATGAACACCAAACTTGGTTCCATGAAGGTGCCACCAGCCTCCTTGCCAATTTTCCCAGTGCTCTTTATCATAATCCTGGCACCAATCTATGACCATATCATCATCCCATTTGCAAGGAAAGTGACCAAAACAGAGATGGGAATCACGCACCTCCAAAGAATTGGAATTGGATTACTCCTCTCCATAATCGCAATGGCAGTGGCAGCAATTGTTGAAGTAAAGAGGAAAAGGGTGGCCACTCACTCAGGCCTCTTAGATGATGCAACCAAACCACTACCTATCACATTCTTTTGGATTGCTTTTCAGTACTTGTTCCTTGGTTCTGCTGATCTTTTCACCTTGGCAGGGTTGTTGGAATTTTTCTTCTCAGAAGCACCAAGTAGAATGAGATCTTTGGCCACATCATTCTCTTGGGTCTCTTTGGCTGTGGGGTATTACCTTAGTTCAGCAATTGTATCAATAGTAAATAGTGTCACAGGTAATGCCTCACACAGACCGTGGCTATCTGGGGCCAACCTTAACCACTATCACCTTGAGAGGTTTTACTGGCTTATGTGTGTGCTTAGTACATTGAATTTCTTACATTACCTGTTTTGGGCTATCAGATACAAATATAGAGGAACAGGAACTACAACCGAATGAGGAAAACAAAGGAAAAGTTTTCAAATGGTATATATATAAGGCCTGAAGTTTTCAAGGTCATTGATGATAAAAATCTTTTCGAGCCATTTCTATTTTATAGCTTTGTATACATGCACTAGCATGCATGCAACCCATTAGATCAACAATTGGTAGCTAGAAATAGAAATATAATAGAGAGAGCAAGAGAGAATCTCTATAATAGTTGTAAAAAGAAAAAGAGTCATAAAAAACGAAGAGGGTACATCGCGTGTGTAATCAAATGTGCTTTCATTAAGGTTTAGGTGAGAGCAAATGAACATGCGGATGCCCCTGCTCAAGTTGTTTGTTAACTTGGTTTTAGTGGGATAATAGATGGTTTTGCTGCTTTTTACACATTGCAGTGAAGTTTGGCCCGTGCTTAGTGAAAAAGCTAGCAAAGGTATTTATTTATCTATTTATTTATTTTTACTAAATTACATTTCTTTCACTGAGAGATATTTAAATTATATGGAAGTGTATATTTAAAAGAGAGAGAGAAAATGAGAGTGTAATTTAAACATCTTTCAAAGGATAGAAATTTAATTTATTTTTCCTTTATGATAAAAAATTTAGAGTGAAAGTTCGTAAATAACAGATAATTTTGACATAAATATATAATAAGATTATGAGTATGTTAACGAATATTCTATAAGCGCTATTGGTTAATTAAAGAGCACCAAATTAAAAACATTTTAATAAATATTTGTAATTACCTAAAAATATAAAACATTAAATAATAATAAATACTTTAAATGGAATTTTTTATTTTTGTTTGCAGTTATATAATCTTTCAATTTTTTACGTATTTGATTTTGTGTTCAAACTAATGTTATTTAAATTAATTTTACAGTTTTACAGTTATTTTTTGTGTTTGTTGCATATTTTCTTTGTATCCATTCTCTATAACACTGCAAATGATAACGATCGATCGATCAAAAGTTGGTATATTATAAGGTTCAAATTACAAAGATTTTATATTTGAAATTACATCTTTGAATTAAGAAGTGCAATCATTCAGGATATGTAATTTGAAGTGTTTTTAAGTATGTCATATATAGGTTTTTTTTTCCTATAAAAAGATGGTTTATTGTTGTGTTGAGAGAGATGGTGTTTTGAGAGTAGATTACGAACCTCTAAGTAGACTTATTTTTATTTTATTTTTTTATGTTCTGTTAACTTTTATTTTATAATTTAATAGTTTTATGCATTTAATTTAGGTGAAATTGCCGAAGTGAATGTATATCATAGAAACAGAACTCGCACAGTTCATGGGGGAACCACGTGAATCAATTCGTTAGTTGGAGTTTACGGTACTTTGAGTATCCCAATTTAACTAAAAGTTACATACACCTCGACGAATATTAAGATAAATAATTGTAAATATCAAAATGAGCACAATTCCGTTAAAGAAAATATGCACCAAAAATTGTAAAGAAAAAAATTAACTAAATTATAATGCACTAATAGAAATATAATGCTTAAAATATAACTCCAAATATATTTTACATCGATAGAAATATGGACACGTAGGTAATGCACTAATATTTAGATTTCTATTTTAAGGGTTACAATTGTAAAAAAAAAAAAAAAAAGTGTAGTATTGCTAAGAACAATAGAAACATAAGTAAAAAAGATATTGATAAATTTTTTTTATAGTTTTATAATATTACACTATAATTATTTCAATGAAAATAAGAGAAAAATAATGATAACTATCTTATTTAGTGTAATCTATAATATCTATAACATATTAACATAACATTAAATAAAAGGGGTACAAAAAAATCATAATTTTCATTTGATCTTTACTTTTATTATGACTATTTTACCCTCAAATTATAATTTTTTTAATAATTAATTTGTTTTCCTCTACTATTTTTGGTACCTTTTTCTTTCACTTCTACTTACATTTTTTTATTATTGACAGTTATCTATACTATATCTACTACTGTTGTGTCACTTTTCTTTTATTCATCTTTCATTTTCTTTATCCTTCTTTTTCATTATTTATTCAACCTCACCCTCAATTACACTCCCTGTGTGTTTTGGAAAAACTCCTTCACATTCACATTCATCATTGTGCAGTTTATACTCCGCATCATTATTACTTTGTTTGAAATTTCACATTTGTTGCATTGCTTTATGCAACATGTGTACTATATTTTATGATAGGATTATGTGGTTGATTGCTACCAGAGTGTTCAACAGATTTACCTTACGACCCAATATTATTAAGGAATGTGTTTTTAATTTTCAGGCTTTGAATTTGGAATGAGTTTATTTCGGTTAACCCCCTACATTGTAACTTGTGTATTACTGAATTTGGTTAAGTGAATGCTTCAATCTCCTAATACTCTCCTTAATTGCATTGTTTCTACTATTTTTATTATATGCATGTTTTGTCGAATTTTTTGGGTGATTCTTTTTCATTGTTGTCAGTTTTTGTCCTTAAAATATAAAAATGAACATGTCATGAGTTGGCACTTACACAAGTTGTAGTGGATTTTTTTTTAATTTAATTAAAATGGATTTAAAAGGACAAAATTCAATTTAAATATTTTTTAAAATATAAAAATATTCCTACACAACATTGAACTCTAAAAAGATTTTAAAAGATATATATTTTTTCAAATGAAGTAAGTTTAATAAACTTTTTTCAAGTTATGTCTATTTATTATTTTAAATTTTATTTTTTAAAATTTTCTTTTAATCTTTAAAAGGAGGAAAATTTAATTTAAATATTTTCTTAAAATATAAAAATGAACGCACCATGAGTTGACTGTTATACAAGTTATAGTGAATTTTTTTTAATTCAAGTAAAATAGATTTTTTAGAAAATAATTTAAATATTTTCTTAAAATATAAAAATGCATTTCTTTAATTTAATTAAAACAAATTTAAAGTAACAAAATTCATTTTAAATATTTTCTTAAAATATAAAAATGAATGTAACATAAGTTGGCAATTACACAAGTTGTGTGCATTATTTTAATTTAATTAAGATAGATTTAAAGGAATAAAATTTAATTTAAATATTTTTTAAAATATAAAATAAAACTTACCATTGTTGTTGGTAGTTATACAAGTTGTAGTGCGTGGTACACTTTTTTTAATTTGATTAAAATAAATTTATTGAAATATTTTTTTAAAATATAAAACTGAAGGTATCATGAGGTAGTGGTTACACAAGTTGCAGCACATTTTTTAAAATTAATTAAAATAGATTTAAAGGAACAAAATTCAGTTTAAATATTTTCTTAAGATATAAAAATGAGTATGTGATCACTACAACAAAATGATTTTTTTGTGACATTTAATATGATTTTTTAGTAGTAATAAAAATTGTTACAAAATCTTTTATCGACATTTTCACATTAATCATTATATGCAGTGTCGATAAAATATTTAACGACAATTATTCTATATGCTGGTAAAAAATTTTATAATGATCGGCAAAAATGTAAAACTTTTAGTGACATTTTTTACTGGTATTTAATATTTTTTGTTATTGTCACTAAAAGTTTAAGAAATGATTCATAATATTCTTTAATTATCTTATTTTTAGTTTATGTGAGACTTGTAAGATGAATACAAATACTCTTTAATTACCTTATCTCTAGTCGATGTGAGACTTGTAAGATGAAGGTTGTCTTCTACTTATATATTCTTTAATTTTCTTATTTTTTTCTTTAATTACCTTATTTCTAGTTAAATAATTGTCAGTAATAATAAATTTTGTTGTAGGATTATAAGACATGACCTTTAAGATAAACATTATTTTAACACAGACAAAAATTAAATTTGAGAGTATAGATTAACTATTATGTCTTAGAATAGGTCTTACAATTACTGAACCAAGATACTTAGTTGAAGAAGAAGGATTTTAGAGAAATATATAAACAAATAATTAATAAAATATTATAGATAAATTTAAATTAGATAATGTACATTATATAAAAATTATGTCGTGCACATTATATTAGTGGGTTGAGGGGAAAAATAAATGGTTGGGATAGAAACAAAAGGATCTAATTAAGTTTGAAATTCTGTGTAATCTTTCTTACGGATAAAAAAAATATCAAATTTTAAATTTAAGCATAATTAGGGGGATTACGAAAAGGGATTTGGGTGAGAAATTTTGCACTTCTCCTTTTATTTTATAATAATATAATTAAAGATAAAAAATAAAGATATGATATAAATATGCTTCTGAGAAAAAAAAAAATTTAAAATGAGAAACAAAAAGTCTACATTTTCAAACTAAAATTATGCTTTTATTATATAAATATGACACCTCACAGGCAACTCAATTTTGTAGTCATAATGTAAAGATGAATATTTTATTCTCATGTGAGGGTCATAATATTGTTAAATAAAAATAAAATAAAAGGAAAAGTATGAGTGATACAACTGTTTGAATTGAAGGATATAGAAAGGATCCAGAAGAAATATATGGACAAATAATTAATAAAATAATAAGGTTAAAATTAAAATTTAATAATATAAGTCTGATTTTCAAATCCTATTACAAAACTCAATATTCAAGAATCCCAAAATTAAATAGGATGACAATGACTATTCAACTTTTTTCGTTATATTTACTTACTGTAATCTTTTCGAAATTATCTCGTGCAAATTATATCAGTTAAAATTAAGCGTAATTATGAAAAAAGATTCGAAAGAGATTCCGGCGAAAAAAATCGTACTTGTCCATTTATTATCAAAATAATGATAAGGAAAATGTGTATCTTCCGAAAATGGAAGCCAAAAATTTGTCCAAATGATTAAAAAATTATTATTATTTTAATAAATTTATTATAAAATAATGATTTTATAATAAATTTATTAAAAAACAATAATTTTTTAATCATTCAAATGAATTTTTAGCTTTCGAATTGAATTTTTAGCTTTCGTTTTCGGATGCTGTAGCAAAGCTTTAATGATAATGATAAAGATAAAATATAAATATGCTTTTGAAATTTTTTTTAAAAATGATAAAAAAAAATGAATGTTTTCAAACTAAAATCATGCTTTTATTATATAAATATGATACCTCATAAAGACATTTGAATTTTGTATTAGGGGTCTAAGAGATTACATTTGTGAACTTAAAATGATCAAAAACTGATCATTGACCTAGAATTGATTTTTTTTTCTTTTTAGTATTTAGGTTAGAATCAATCCATTTAATTTGAATCGAATTTTTTTATTGTTTGAATTAAACTCAATTTAATTTAACCAAAACTCAATATTATACAGGTTGGATAATAAATTTTATGTTTTTTTTATCCGTAATATAACTAGACTCGATAATAATAATAATAATAATAATAATAATAATAATAATAATAATAATAATAATAATAATAATAATAATAATAATAATAATAAGTTAGTATAATCAGTTGCTCATAATAATACTCTTTGTCACTCTTATTTAATAATGGGTATTGTATTTTTTTTTTAAAACATCGTAATAATACAATATATTTATTTTAATTTTTTTTTAGTATAAATATTGATTGTTTGAGTTGATATCAATTTAATAAATTAATGAATTTATTTTAAAATTTTAATTTATATCATAATTTATTTTATCGGTTGATAATATTTAGTAAAAAAATATAAATTATAATAACTTATTTTTAATATATCTTTCATAAATAATTTAATTATTTATGTTAATTTTTAATTTT